ATTAACTTTCATGGTTTTTGAAGGTGATCGGCATAAGTAAAAAGCTAACGTTAGTCTATAAACACACCACCACGGAGCACCACTAAACTTCCAACTTGTAATAAAATTAATAATAATCAAAATTAAAAAACCTACAAGTTGTACAGGACAATTTGAAAAAGATTATTAAATTCATAGAATAACATAAAAATGTATATCAATATATAGTTATTTTTATTCATATATACAGGAAATAATTTTGCATCTTTTTGATTGTATCTTATATCTGAATCAGGCTGAATGTAAACAGCAACAACGAGACAGTCCTCTCGTCCTTCACTCTGTCGGACATGAACGCCGTCCACCTGTCAAGGATCCGGGATGTTGATGGAGCCGGTCTCTGTAAAGATGTGTGCACAACAGTCTCTGATTTCTTGTTGTTTGAGCAGCCTGAGTCCCATTTCGTCCAAAACTAGACATTAACCCGGAGCAGCCTAAAGTCCAAGCTGTACTATCCGGCTCTCTTCCTCTCCTCTTGGGGCGTCTAGTCGATCTGGTTGATCGTTCTCAATATATGTATAATCTATAATCCCACGCTTTCTTTTGCGATGACTGCAGGCTGTTTCTGTCTTAGTTGATATGTGATTCAGCAATAAAGCCGAAAACTGATTGACCAGGTTTGAAGGAGCTAGCCTTCCGGTCGCAGCATCTGAACCTGCAGCCAGTGTCAGAATCTATTAAATCCAGTCGATTTGAACAATTTTGGCTCATCCCTTAAAAATTTGACCAAATCAGACATCAGTGATGTTTTAACAAAGAGCAAGGAGCTACCTGCTGTTGCATCTACATGTGTAGCCGTTGCCATGGTTATTGCCTGGCTGGTTAGCAACCGACTTCATTAAAATATAAAGGCTTCAATAGTCACATTTTTACGATTTTACGTCAGACGACAAAACCTGAAAATCTCTTAAACTTGTGTCAAATTTGTGTTTATTGATTATAGACTATTGATTAAATCAACTCGACAATGGAGGGAGGTTGGAGAGGTGAAGGGGGGAGATCCTCACTGTCACTGCTGCTTTTCTTTAGCAGAAATTCTTCTCCTTTTCTTCTTTTTTCTTCTCCTTCTCCTTATTTTTTGTGGCTGTATTCTTCTTGTTTTTCTCTCCATCTCTCTGTCTAGTCTTAAACCTTTTGCCGAAGATGGTAAAGCCTCTCCTCCTGCTCTTCTTCTGCAGGTCTTTGTCCACAAGGATTTTATTTTCCTCCTCCAGCTGTTGGACCTTTTCCTGCCGTCTCTGAACTTTCTCTGTCAGGAATTGATTTGTGTCTTCCAGCTGTTAACTTGCTGTGTCAGGGTCTTGTTCCGGTCCCAGCTCTGGTTTTGCTGGTCCAGGTCCTCGAGCTGCCTGTCCTACAGAGCTCTGAACTCTCGCTGCCACGCTTTGTGGGTTTCCAGAAAGTCAGCTCTGGTCCTCTTGAGCTTCTTCTCGGTCTCACTGAGCCTCGTGGACAGACTCTTCTTCTCTTTCAGGTCCTTAATTTTCCTCTCCTTCTCCAGTCTGCGTCTCTTCCTCTCCAGGGTCTTCTGGCCACTTTTCCCCCAATTGTTGTGGGAGACCAAACCTCTCCTGGTGTTGATGGAGAGCTCCTGGAGGTTCTTCTTCTCCTGCTGCACCTGTTGTAAGGTGTCCTCTCTCTCACTCAAGTTCTCCTGCAGAGCTTTGAACCTGGTCTGCCAGGAGTTCTGGCTCTGCGGAAGTTCTTCATCTTTGTGGAGCAGCTGGTTAGGGCCTCAGTCAGTCTCTGAGACAGACCCTTGTTCTCCTTGGTCAGGTTCAGGAGATGGTTGTCCCTTAGTTCGAGCTGCTGGTCCAACTGGTCCTTCAGTTGCTGTTCCAGTTTCTGCTGGTCCTGCTTCAGTCTGGCAGCAGCCTCCTCCTTCTCCCGCTGCAGGCTATCCACCTGCTCCGAGCGGGATTTAAGGTCAAAGTTCGGTTGGAAGATGTGCTGCTTGTAGGATTTGAGGGTCTCTGTTACGTCCTCAGTTGTGGGGTCCAGGGGAAAAGAGGAGTAACAATTAATAATTTACCCAGGCGTTTAAAGAAGGGCAGGAAACATAAAAATTTGTACCTTTAAACTATTTATACCAACGTAAATGAGGTCAAAACGTAAACACAAAACAACTTCCAAAAAAGAAAAGAAATGAAAACACATTTAACTAAACAAACCACTAATACAATAAAGAAATGACGCTATATCTCCACTGAGGGAATAATGGTAACACACAAGCACCACACAGCTCTGCTTTGCACCCGACAGCGACACGACTTTATCTGGTGGTTTTTGCCCCACTGGCCCCGTCTGCTTCCATCACAGTAGCTTTCGTCCCGATTGCTAAACCACTGCAAGTGTGCCTGACCAGTCGGAGGGGAGCCCGGTACCTGGAACAGGGCGCAGGACAGCAGAAGCAAAGTATACACACGTAACAGTCTCGCAGCTGTTTTTGACCTCAGCTGCGAACTCCCTCTCCCAGAGCTCCAGCAGACCCTTGAGTCTGTTGATTTGCCACTTTAAATTGTGGATGTTGCTTGGACACGCTCGTCAGCTCACTCTGCAGACAGTGGTTGCTCTCCTGAGCCTGGTCCAGGTGGGCCTCCAGACGGCAGACATCTGGGGTAGACCTTGACTTCTCAACTTCGTCAGCAAAACGAACCCTTCTCCTCGGCTTATTCCTGGGATTTTGTCCAGGATTATTTGCTGGATTATGTCTTTGGAGCCATCCACAAAAGTGACATAAAATACATGATTTCTGGGACAAAATCTGAAAACATTGAAGGCAGAACAACCAGAGAAATAATGGACCAGCTGATTATGTTAAAGTCTGTTTGTGGTTGGTTTAACCCGTAGTTGAGTTGTTTTAACCCATTGGTTAACAGCTAAAGCCCGGTTCAGACCAAAGATTTGTGATTAGTGTGACTTATTGGTCAGATCTCTGGTTTTACTTTAATATATGTCATACACATGCTGTGTGGTTAGAAATAACGCTGATTATGAAAGTTTTACTCAACTAATGTGGTTCAGTTTCAATAATCGTCGGCTTTAATAGAAGAGCTGTAAATCACAGCTTCAACCTGCAGGACTGAACTTACTGAACATTTACTGAGCCCCAAACTAACTGACACAATGTCAGATAACCTGGACATCAGCCCTCAGCCTCAGAGGAGCAGAGTAACGAGGGCTAATAATGAGCTAATAACAAAGGTTCCATGAATGAATAACACTAGCGGCTGTAAGTTCAGTTTGTTTTATGTTGTTTTAGTGTAAATGTTTGCTGGAAAGGAGGGACTTTATACAAATGATTTTATTTATTAGCGTTATCAATAAACAAAGGTAGGGAGAAAAGGAAGAGAGGAAGTCAGAAAATATTCATCTGTTAACATAGCTCTGATCAACCAAATTCCACAAAAAAAGGATTTTAAAAGTTGTTTGCTCATCGTCTTGCGCACAGACCGACAAAATCTGAAACCAGACTTTTTATAAATCTGCATCGTGATGTCGTTATTTGAGCTTGGTTGGGCTGGGATTTTAATACTGAACTATGGAGGATGCAGACTTTCACTTTCTGTGTGGAAATCCAGTGTATTCATAACGAAAGTTGAAAAGTTTCCAGTAAAATACCAACGGGTCCTTTTCAAGTGTCGTGAAAAACGTAGCTAAGAGTCTTGGTGATAATTGATAATAAATAACACAACACAACTCAGTTTAAGTAAACATTTACTTTGGGCAAATAGATTTGCATTCATTATCGTTGCACCCTGGGTAATGTCGTAACATTGACGACTGAATCAAAAAGGGCTCAGAGACAGAAAATCAACAACCATCGTCATCGTCTCGCTGCCGCCTCCAGCTTTCACACTGTCAGAAAGGTTTGCTCCAGTCTTTCATCCGGCTTCTAAATGACCTCCTGTCGACCCCCCCGGCCCTTTGGACAAATTCAACATGTCACTGACATGATCAGATAGCTCCAAAATAACCACAGAAAGACACCTTTAAACACAACATGGGATTCATTAATGTAAAGAAAAACAAACGACCAAGACACAAAGTAACAGACAGACTTCTACAGCTGAACACAGAGCTTGTTAAACATAACTGGTTTCAGCCTACAGTTGATCCACATATCTATCTTTCAACCCCCCATATATCTGCAGATGTACACTGATGAGAATGAGAGACTTTAAATTATTAAAAAGGAACAAATTGCTTTTATAATTGTTCAGTCTGACAGTAAACACAGGAGATATCTGGAACTGTTTGTGAATCCTAAAATATTCATAAAGTTATTAATGGAGAACAACAACCAGCTAATGAGACCTTATTGTTCAACCCTGTAACAACACTTAAAATAATTAAAATGACCTGAATGCTAAAAACCTTTTTTAATTATCACCTCTCAGGTTTACTAATGATTAACACAAAACCCATTAATGAACAGTTCATTCAATAGATCTGTTTACAGTAACGTTAGCTTTGTGTTAGCCCTGTTTCATCCTTTTTTAGACACTTAATATTGTTAATAATATTTACTGTAACAGCAGTGTGTAAAAGCAGTGTGTCTGTGTGTATTTTCTAAGATTGTATGTGTTATTGACACTTATTTATTCAGGCCTCGAACAAAGGGTAAAATCTCTCAAAAATTATTTTTGCTCCGTGCTGTAACTGCTGCAGTCGGCTCCACTGCAGTTCAGCAAAAGACCTTAAATATGTGACTGAGTAAGTACTAAACAATAAAAAAGGGTACTGCTGTACTAGAGCACCAACTGTGGATTAATCCGCCACTGACAATAGTCCCTGACAAACGCATTTCATTGCACAGGTGTTGGGAATGTGTGTGTGTGTGTGTGTGTGTGTGTGTAAAAATCTCTATTACAACTGAAAGTCTATGAGAGATGAGAGTCTTGGGAGGAAGTTAATAGCTTTAAACCTGCAGAACAAATAAAAGCAACAGAAAAGCAGCCCTCTTTCAAGATTATCTTTATTAAAAAAATAATAATAACAAAATTACTACTACTATCTCTAAAAGCTTGGGTATTTACTGTGGCCATTTTGTATAATGATTTATTACTTTTTCTAACAGGACTCAAAAATATTATTAAATGTTTGCACACATTTTGGACAAAATATATAAATATTATGCATAGAACTGATTTGAGTTAATCCAATTTATTATATTATGTAAAAAACTGTGGCTAAATGCAAATGCCAGTGCTGCTAAAGCAAATTATTTCCCAGTGTGCCACACAAAAATACATTGGCATCAATTAGTAAATCCAGCATTTAGATTGTTAATCTATTACAAAAGCTCTGACATCAGTGTAGATGGTCTCTGCATTTCTTGCACTTCTTCTCCCAGATTTGCCAGCTTTCCTCCTGGTGAAGTCTGGTCTATAATAAACCAAAGAGTCCTCATTTATCTGAGGAAATAAAGTGCAAAATTTAAAATGAGAGCAGATAAAAAATGCTGATGACATTTTTAGCTTCATCTTTCAATTCCTTACCTGCTGACTTTGCTGATCACCACTGGCTGTTGCAGCATTTGTTTGCGGAGAGACAGCAGCTGTATTAGAAAGTACATAAAAAATATATTAAAAAATAAATGACAGTAAAAAGGATAATTCTTTGGGTTTCACTTTATTGAAGCTGAATAACTGTAGGTTGATTTATATACAGAATGTGAATCAAAGATGTTAAATCACTAATTAAAAGATTGATTGATTAATGTCTCTTACCGTTACAATGACAGGATTTTTTCACGATGGCATAAACAAGGAAGGCTATAACAATCAGATTTATAGCCAGAGCAGCGCACACCAGATAGAGAATTGTATTTTCTTTCTGTGACTCAGACGGGCCGACAACTGAAACATTAAATGAACATTAAAGTTCAGAAAAGTAATAAATATTTACATTATTAGATGAGATTATGTTGGCAAGAGGATGATCATTTAACCATTATATGGAAACACACTTACCTTCAATGTCCAGTTTTGTTCCATTTCCAAATAATATCTCTCCACATGAGGCCACAGCACAGTAATAAGTCCCAGCATCAGAGGAGCTGATGTTCTTAGAGAAGTTGTAGACACATTTCTGTGGAGAGTGAGCCTCAGGACTCTTCTCACATTCATCACCACTGTTTCCATGAGTGTAAATTAAACTGGGATGAGATTCTCCTGATCCAGCTCTGAACCAGAACACACTGTGATTTCCTGGACACTTTTTCTTCTCAGAGTCAGAGAGGACTGAACACTGCAGAGTCACTGGGTCTTCTGGACGGACTGAATCAGACAGAGGGACTTGAACTACAGCAGTAATATCAGGCTCTGGTCCTGGGAAATCACAACAATTTACTACATACATTTTGCAATAAATACATTATGTACAATTGCTGTTATTATGCATATTAATCTCTGTTGCTGTTTTTGGTGCATTTACCTGTAATTCTCAGAAATACTCCTTTCACAAATATAATTTTGCTTTGTATTACTTTTATACAGTAGTAGATTGCAGTATCGCTTAACTGTGTTTTAGGAATATGCAGAACAAATGTTCCAGGCTCTTGTTTTGCTGTTATGTGATTCATCACATCAACAGCCTCTAAATCATAGTTTATTGTTCCTCCTAAAACTTCAGGAAAGGTCTGAGAAACAAGCCTGATCCAAAATAGGCTTGTTGATCGCCCAGATCTGTTGCGGGGACATGTTAGAGTCACATTGTGTCCAAGAGCAACAGTCTTTGTCTCAAAGATGTGATCGTCCGCGCCCCCTGAAAATAAAATTAAAACAGAGCAATGATTAACAACAGGGTACATTCATATGCCTCCTCTATATTACTGCATGAAGATGACAATGTATTTTAAATATATATCTGAAGTAAATGTGGCTTTAATACTTACGTCCAAATTTGAGCACAAGCAGTATATGGAGTACAATCAGCATTTTCAGTTTTTTTCCACTCGACACAACAGTTAATTCAGACCGAATTATAAGAGGATTCCCCCCTAAGTAATCATATCAAATGGGAGGGAACTATTTCAGGGCAATGTGATTGGCCTTTGGTTATGTTGGCGTTTCACTGTACTACCACAATGGAAATATGTCAACCAAAACTTTCCAACTGAAACACATGAAACAACACTAACAGCACATAGTTATTGCTTGGTGATGTTTGTTTTCTCATCCTGGGTTCATAAATGTGACATTTACAGCAAATACAGAAGGCCTTTTTAGGGGAGATTTTGTAAACAAACAATCTGTTGGGCACGCTATTATTTTGATGTAAAGAAGCTATAATGTTTACCATCTTCAACATATTACTGTAATTTAGCAAGTTAGGATGCTAACATTTTCTAATTAGCATTAATAACAAACTACAGCTAAGGGTGATTCTAGGTTTTGCAGGTATTTGGTCATTAACCAAAGTAATGGACAAAGTATTAGCACTAGATGAAAAGTCAGGGTGATCATCAGTTATTGCAATTCATCTTGAGGGGACATGAACGTGTTTACCATATTTCATGCCAATCCTGACAGTTGTTGAGACATGCCAACCTGCTGGTGATGCTAAAAAATAAAGTAAGTGCATAACCAAACTAACGGGGACTATGGCCAGAAATCTTAACTGCCATTTGTCAAAATGGAACACAGAGTTAACCAGAGAAGGATCTGCAATTCCAGGTGCCCCCATTGACAGTATATATAATGGACAGAGCTTCCGGGTCTGAAAAGTAAAGCCAACGCTGGAGTGTCTTAAAACCTGCATTCTATGTAAAGGCCAGCAGGGGGAGTTTAGGGTCTCAGTTGCTAGTTTCACATCTTCAATATACTATGATGTTCATTTAGTAAGTTATGGTCCAGGTTAGAGTAAAATAGACAACAAAGCCACGTTCCGTTGATCATTTCTCACTTAAAACTGTTTCAGAAAGATATTTTAGGGTACTGTTTAGCTGGAATACAACATTGTGTGTGACCAGGCGTGCAGTCAATGAGCGTACATCAACTTACAGTTGTAACCCCAATGAGAAAATTTGAGTTTTATATATTTTAAAAGAGGCTTTTTACTTGCTTTAAGGCAGGGATCCCCAGCCTCCAGCCTGGGGGCCATTTCCAGCCCTGCATGATATATAAAATACAATATAATCCAATTTTTTTTTTGTTTGTTTCATATCAATTTAAACTACCCTTACATGAACAACAAACATAAAAACACAATTCTGATTTTTGTCCCCTCATTTGATGCAAAATAATGGCCACAGGTCAAAGGTCCCTGCAAATGCATGCAAACGGATTGTTAGTAATGTTTTCAGAATATTGTGCTTTCTTGTAGCACTGTACACTGAAATGGATCTCCTATGAGATGACAATACCAGCAGTGGCCACAAGCCAATTTGAGTTTGAGAGCTCTGCTTTAAGGTAACTGCAGTAACATTAAGAAATGTTGGATCAACATTTGTACAGTGTTGAACCTTTCAATGATAGTAGGGACAGTAATACCTGACAATCTAACGCTCTGCAGTATAACACCAGACTGGCAACAAAACATTACCAGAAAGTTAAATCAGCAATTCCCTGAAAAAATATTGTCTCCATTTCCTTTGTGCATAGGTACATTAAAATATACAGAAAGGTGTATTTAGAAGGAGTTATAACTGTAAAATCTGATTAACAATAAAAGGTCTGTGATAAATACTTTTATGTACTTTGTGTCCTGCTTTGTACTTTCTACTCGCTACAGCCTGTTGAAACAAATTAGGCATGGAAAATGATGCATTGTTGTGGTTTGGCTCTCAAGATAAGCTGTGAATACAACAGGGTCTTTTCTTCCTGTTTCGCTCTCTATTTTAGTCTTGCCGCTATTTTACTTTCTCAACAAGGCGCTGTTTTTTTTAAGAGCACAACACTCTATAGGAGTTAAAGGGTGCGAGGGCGGTTGGAAACATGCCTGCTCAGTCACCCTATGTCATTACACTTTTTCATTGCACATCAATGCGGTTTGGTGCTTTTCATTGGTAGTTTCTGAAAAAGTGGGGAGTGGTATACATTCACTAGCCACACCCAGATCAGTTAAGTTAAAAACATCATCTTAACTTTGCCTTACTAAATGCAAAAAGCTTTGGTAGCCTTGTTAAGGCCAACTCTGGTGCGCATAGCAATTACATCCTAATATAACAGAACTAAATAGAACTGGACTACATAGAGCAATGCACTGCTCTAAATGCATGTTATCTCTCTTAGATACGTACAAGTCAGCCCTCTTCTTCTCTACTTCTCTAAAACATCAGAGGAAAATATTCCCAAAACCAGCCAATAACAAAACATCTGACTACTTGGATATTAAAGCAGGAAAGCTAAGGTAGTGGCTTTGAATCCAGACCCCACTGTAAATGATAGGTGTCAGTGTAACCTTGAGTGTGTCTATCTAACTGAACTTGTGGATTTGCAGCCTTTTAAAATGTTTCTCATTTTCGAGGATTGTCAAAACAGTGAATATTTTAATAATTCAAGTTTACTGGTAAACATATTCAAGCATATACAACAGAATCAGATTAGCTGTTTAAAGTAGAACTACCTTTCTAATGTGTCTTGTAGCTTTTTCTTCCTTGCAACTTCACCCTCATCACACATCCTGTTGAAGACCATTGTCAGTTCTGCTCTGAGTAAACAACTTTGATGGTTGGTCAAAGTGCAGAGAAATGGCCCACCACAGCCTGTTAGTCAGTGTAGCTGTTGCATGTGGCTTTGCTTGTTGTTCTCAAGAAAGACACGTAGATGACAAAGTTCTGTGAGACTGAAGTTTCAGTAAACTTTGAGTAGTTTAATGCATACAAGCTTATAAAGTATATTTATAGATTCCTTACAGAATGAGTGAATGTGCAACATACAAAGCTTCTATCTGCTTTTATTAGCTTTGTTTCCTTCTATAGTTGTAGGAAGTTGTGGACAAATATACAGACAACGGTTCACTGTCAAAATAACTGGCTGTTGTTCTGCTAGCCTCTCTCCACACACAACCCTCAAAAACATAGTGTTAACTATTGTTTTCTCTGATTTCCAAATATTTTGGGGCCTCAAGCCCTATTCCAACTGGAATTGTTTCTCCAATGTACAGTAAAGACAACTTGTAGTATATGCACACAATGCAGTGTCTCTACTTAACAGGCTTTACCAGTTGACACATTTGGGTCCAACTAGGCCTACATCTCGACAGCAGATATATTGAATCTTAGTTTAGTTCTTGTGGTTGGATCCATTAAATTGAATCTAAATTATTTCATTTATATTAATTAAGACTTTTATCCATTCAGCAGTTATGGAGCAACATTATCATTCACTTGGAGTCACCTGACTAATATATGTCCAATATTATATATACCAAACTCCTGAGGGAGATCTGGCTCCAGCTGCTAAATGCTCCACTATGTTCACAAATTAGTTCAGGGGTGGCCAACCAGTCAGAGACTAAGAGCCACATTTTTTACATGAACATCCCCCCATCCCTTCCCCCGCCCCCCCGTTCTCTCTCTCTCTCTCTCTCTCTCTCTCACACACACACACAGACCTCTGTTCAGCCGGATTTACTGTAAATGTCACACACAAACATGAAAATGACAGAAATGGACTCCTACAGTACTAAGACCACAGACCAGTCATTTTCAACAATGAACATTGTGTGCAATGTTTCACACACACAAACTCTCAGTTCACAAACAAAAATATAACAATTTACAATAGCGTTTTTCTCTTACTATGCATTTTGCTTAGTGGGACTTCTGGCATTCCTTGCCTCTTCAAATCCGGCTTGTATTCCGTTATTGCCACTCGAAGCAATTCTTTCACATGTGTCAGTCAGAACAGATCGATGCTTTGATTTTACATGTTTCAGGATATAAAACAGAGACTCGCAGACGTATGTTGACCCAAACATTGACAGCATCTTGAGCGCAGCCCGTTTGACATTGGGGTATTTTTCCATTGGCACACTTTTCCAGAACTCAATGGTCCCTTCCCTTAAAGCCGGTTTCAGTTGGTCCTCCTCACAAAGACCGATCATCTCCAACTCAGCTGCAGCCTCATCTGTGACTAGCAGGGATTTCAAACAGTCCATCTCCGCATTAAAAGGGTCGACGAGGAACGTGATCCGTGGCCTTTTCAGATGTAGATCATGGAACCGGGTCACAAAGCTTTCGTGCAGGTTTTCAACCAGTGTTGCATATCTGGCTGTTTGCTTAGTACAGCTGGCGAGGGAACAGCAGTTACCGACGGAGGAGTCAAGGCTTTCTTTGCATCTGTCATGGCGCAAATTAGCGGGTTCACCCGGGTGTAACATTCACATCATTGCCAACCGGAGGTGAAGCCGATTAATATCGGGTGTTAGCGGGTTTACATAGGTTTTTTTGGGCAGTGTAAAAGGGGCTACACACAACACAAAATTCGATATGAACGTAAGAGCCGCATGAAACTAGGCAAAGAGACGCATGCGGCTCGGGAGCCGCGGGTTGGCCAGGCCTGAACTAGTTGCTAACATTGCCTGTCTGCCATTTGGAGCTGAGCAGAAAGTCTAGAGTGGGCTTTAGAGCTTTATCATTGAAAACCGCTGCCTGCTGAAGTCAAAAGTAGTGAGAGTGACCCAAACTAGTGAAGTTGCGGTGGATAGCTGAACAATGAGCTGAAAGTCAATACAAAGCTCTGAAGGGCCGAGTGGTACTGCTGTATCAGTTACATGTGGACCATGGGATGGCTGTGGCTCGAGGTTGAGTAGCTCATCAACTAATCAGAAGGTCAGAATCCACTAATCAGAAAGTCAGTGGTTTGATCCCTGGCTCCTCCTACAGCATGACCAGTTGGCACCTTGTATGGCAGCCTCTACCATCAGTGAATGAATGGTGAATTTACCTTCTACCTGTTACGAGAGCCAAATTGATAAAAAATGTCCCTGTCTTTCCCAAACAGAAACCCTGGATGACAAGCTTATTCCAGGCACTTCTTAGAGACCATGACACTGCCTTTAAGTCAAGTGAGAGGGTTCAGTAAAGCAAACCTCAGGAGAGGAATCAAAAATGCCAAGTATTAGAGGAAACTCAAGGACTACCTCACAGACAAGAACCCAAAGGGGGTGTGGCAGGGAATACAGCACAACCCTGTAATGGTCAACACCAACGTCATGCTAGCAGGAGAACTGAACTGTGTCTTTTCTCGCTTTGAGGTAAAAAGGCCCAATACAGTCTCCTACACACTTCTTTACATTGCTGCTTTAGTCCGGTCACCAATTTATGCATTGCACGGTGTTGCTGTGCGTGCAATACAATGTAAAGTTTTGTTTTCAAGCTGGTTTGCTAAATAGGCTAATGTAGCTAACAATAACACTAGCCTGCCACTGCCCCTGGTGGCTCGAGACAAACGCCACAGCACTTGTTGAAATTGAAATAGGCGAAAATGGCAAAATATTATTGAAATGTGAGACTTGAAATAACAGAATTACTTGAAATGTTAGTGTTTCTGTAGAAAAACATGTTATTATTTCACATTGAGCTTGTTTAGATGAGCCACAAACAATAACAAGCAGCTGCTGCACTGGTGTCCGACTCGTAATGCCCAAAGACAAATGGAACGTTTTAAGTGGTACAAGCCAGGCAATTACGTCACGTTCTCGCGGCAGAGCAACTCGGGCGGGGGATTTACGAGACAAATGGATAGCACCATAAGATCTTTAATCTTTCCCTAACAATGTCACCATCCCACCCTGCCTAAAGTCAACCACCATCTTCCCTGTCCCCAAAAAGCCAGCCAACCATCATCAAATTCACAGATGACACCACTGTAGTTGGGTTCATCTTAGAGAGAAACAAGTTAGCCTACAAAGATTAGGTCCAGAAACTGTGGTGTGGTGTTCAGCACACAACCTTAACACCACAAAATAAAAGGAACTTATTGTTAATTTCTACACTCTACACTCCATATTAACTGGGACTGTGTGGAAAGGGTTCCCATTTCAAATACATGGGAACACACATCTGTAGGGAACTTACCACTGTAATTGGTAAGGAGGCACAGTGATTACACTTACTGGGAGTGCGCAGGAAAAAGTGTTGGCCTTCAACCGATCCTCCGCAGATAATTTACTATTGTACTGTATCTCAGTGTGGTACGCCAGCTGCTAACCAGCACAGCTTTGCAGGTCATCAATACTCCTAGCTCCCACTGCCTAAGCAGAGCCAAAAACATCCTAAAGGATTCTTGTCAGCCTGGTCACCTCTGGCAGGCCCTACAGGACCATCAAAGCATAGACCAGCAGCCTTAAGAACAAATGCAAGACTTGGTGACTTCTGTGGTTTCATATAAATTGAGCGTTTGGGCAGGCAGGCAGGTAGACAAGTTACAAAACTTACAATGGTCCAGGCAAGCGATCCAACAAGGCAACAAAAGCACGAAGCAACCAGAAACAAAGTAACCATGATGAACTGACACAGAAACAAGGGAACACAGACTAAATTACAAGTGACAGCTGAAAATAATCAGTGTGGGGCAGACAATCAAAACGGGACAGGAAGTGAATCCTAAAAAGATGCAAGAGGAGGAAAATTAAAAAAAACTAAAAACACTGATTAAACAACACATAAATAGTCACAGTGGTACTTGATGGAAAAAAAAACATTAATTTGCATTAAATTGCATTCTTTTGATTAATTATTTGAAATTGGGTCAAAATTTGCAATAAGCTTACATGTGGATGGCATGTCATTGATACAATGTTATATTTTTAAAAATATCAAATGTCTAGAAGATCAATTAGGGCCCAGTATTCTCAGCTTTCACCATCAGCAATATTCTACATGAGCAGATTGTAAGCAGGGTTTATATACAACCTATGTGAGTGTTCCAGTTTCTTTCTTCTCCACTTTTATAAAGCATCTAGTTTTCAGTTTATATATGAATACCAAGTATCATTGCCTTTTTTTTGGCAAATCATGTCAATTGAATCCCTTTGCAGAATGTGTTTAGCAGCATAGCACAAAGACTTAGGGTAGAAGAAAATACTTATGGGAAGAGAAATAAAGCTTTCAACAGCTTCAGAAAGGTCTTGTTTACATGTTTTCTCTTTCACGGGGATGAACTGAGCAAAAATGAGCAAACTAAATTAATTTATCTGCTAACCAAAATAAATTACTTCTGCTTTCAGCAGTCTTGTAAAGCTTCATGGTCACATGACGGGATCTCTTCAATCAACAGCCATCTAGTGATCAGTAAAGGGGACTACCAAAGAAAATATACACTTTTATACGATTTCATGTGCTTTAGTTTTGGACTGTGGTGGTCTTTGTATTAGAGGACAATTCGTTTAATAAAATGACAAGAGTAGTTGTCTATGCTTCATTTGGTACTCAAATTGTTAAGGAGTTGAAGGCAAGGCTGGAGAAACCCGTTCTCATGCTAGGTCAACAAATACCAAAGCTTTGTCCTGCACCAGCTTATACAGGTGGTTGCAGGTTGGTTAGGGTTGGCCACCAAAACTTCTTGGTTAGGTTTAATGAAAGATCATGGTTTGAGTTTAAAAAAGTACAATACATAAATTACACAATGTCAGTGATGTCAAGTCTGTGACTTGTGTCACAAACTGGGCCATACGGCCATGACAAAAGGAGGGAGACGCACACAACAAAGCCAATTAACAAATTTATAAAGGAACCCGGCGAATGCGACCCCTCTATTCGCCTTTTGGTGTTGCAGTGTGACCCCCGGGACCCCTGGGAGCTCTGAAAGCTGCCTCCCTCTCCTGCTTGGTCCACTTTAAGTGTGTGTGGATTTAATTTATTCTAATGCAAATTTTATTTTAATCGCATTCGCATTTTCATGTTGTCTACTCATCTCGTCCCCACTGTGTTAAGGCCTGTGGCTCAGAAGCAGGTCGTTCCTTAATCGGAAGGTTGTGGGTTCAATCCCCGGCTCCTGGTCCCACATGTCGAAGTATCCTTGAGTAAGATACTGAACTCCGAATTGCTCCCGATGCACAGCATCGGTGTGAATGCGTATGAATGCATTAGTTTCTGTTTTATGGACTTTGCCATCATCTGAGTGAATGTGTGTGAAAGGGTGAATGTGGCACGTAGTGTAAAAGCGCTTTGAGTGGTCGGAAGACTAGAAAGGCGCTATACAAGTACAGGTCCATTTACCATTTACCATTTAAGTATCTATATATAGACATTTTAAAGTTAGTTTGAAAACATGGTTGAAGGACAGTCAGGTCCTTAGTCATTGAGTCAGCATTGGTACTGCAGTTTCTTGTACAGATGGATTGTCTGTACAAGTGCTACCTAGTGGGAATTTAGTATGATTCTTCTGTTGTTTGTTTCGGGGTGGTTGCTGATTGTTGATTGTAAATATTTGATTTACTGCTACTGATCTTTCATCTCCGTAACCAGCGCATCACAAGCTGAGTGACTGCACATAAAAATTCATTTTTGGCTACATCTGGTACAATACATGTATTGTTCCTAACACTAAATAAAATAGTACAAAAATGTGCATTTGTGTAAATAAAACAGCTTTAAAGGTTTTAGAAGACTTCCACTGTTTGCGCTAAACTAAGCTAACAACAAAAACTGTAAATTTCAGACTCAAAGGAGGTGTTGTAAGTGTTGTATCTCAACCTCAGTCGGAATTCAGTCAGAATAGACTAGATTGCTTTGGAAAAAGAAACTGTATATAATTCTTGTTGCATTGAAAATATGTCATGAAAATAGATAGTGTTTGCTAAATTCAGGGGAAGTACATTTTCTACATTTCAGCCAATCAGAATGATTTTTACTTTGTTCACCTTGTGACTAAACCTTCCATTTCGCTGAGAAGACATCAGTTGCGCAAGACAACACTGCTGTACCACAATGATGGCAAGACTGGCTGCTTTGATTCTTCTCTGTGCAGTGTGTAAGTGCAATTCTTAACTAGAGTGAGAAAAAATACTACTGCAAGCTACTGTTTTGACTAAACTGTACGTGTAAAACATATTTATATACATTAGACAAGGCCCAGTAAGTGGATCTTTCATTGAATTTGTTCTCCTGTTTTGTAACTTTGCTATTCATTGTCTCTTTTCTTCAGATCTGATTCACACTGCAGAGGTTCCTCAGCAGATCTCTTTGACTGTGGTTGAACTTGGTGGGATTACTACTTTTCAATGTCCAGCCTCTGAGAATCAAAGCAAATTTTTTCACTGGTACAGGCAGTCTGTTGGATATATGGTCCAAACAGTCGCTGCTGTTATACTTGGCAAAATAACATTCAGCGAACCATTTACAGACTCACGTTTCACAGTGACCAAAGTGGACACTCACTACTTTCTTACAATCAGAAATGTCACCAAAGAAGATGAAGCAACATACTTCTGTCAAAATGGATCGCCGTACTCACAGAGTTTTGTTAACGGCATCTTCTTGGCTGTGAATGGTACAATATCTGTCAGTGTTTGTGCTTATATAAATTATCCCTATGTCGTACAAATAACAGATTGTTAATTCCTTTCATATTGTTTTTCACTGAATCACACAGATCGTAATCAGCAGAAATCTGTGAATGTGAAGCAACATCCAGAGACAGCATCAGTCCAGCCGGGACACTCAGTGACTCTCCAGTGTTCACTTCTCCTCAGGAAAAAAGAAACCAGAGTCCAGTGTCCACGTAAACACAATGTGTACTGGTTCAAAGCTGGATCAGGACAATCTCATCCAGACGTCATTTACACTCACAAGAACAGCAGTGATGAACAAGAGGAAAGGAGCTGTGTCTACAGTCTGTCCAAAACCATAAGAAACTCCTCTGATACTGGGACTTACTACTGTGCTGTGGTCTCATGTGGAGAGATCCTGTTTTCTAAAGGAACTCAAGTGGAAACTAAAAGTATGTCTTTTCCTCTATATGCATTTACCTAGCAGAAAATAATAGATTTACCCTGATTACATTAGTCTGTTGATTTCTCTGAGGTTTAAGAGAATTAAAATCAGGTTTTAACTTAATTTAAAATGTATTCCATTGTCTAAGTTCTTATGCAAAAACATGTTTGACAAAGTTAAGGTTATATAAAAGGTTAGGGTTAGGTTAAATTACTTTTATTAAATTGCTCTTATTTTGCTTTCTAAAATGTGTCCTCCTCCACAGGAGGTTGTAGGAAGAAAGCAGTTGAAATACTGTACTATTGACAAAGAAAGTAATTTGTTGATGGAAAAAACTCAAATAAACACACAAAAAGGAACAAAAATATTTTGGCATTTGGCCCTAACCTAAAAAAGCCTTTTGATGCAACTTTATCGGTTTTCTTAATGCCTCTGTGTTTCCAGTAGTAAAATGATCACGACTTTAATCAATACAAACACAGTGCGGAGTGTCTCTGAAAATGTTTCTGATTCCAGGACCAGAATTAGACCCAGTTGTCCTTGTGCTTGGAGTGCTGTTGGCCTGCTGTGCGACCGTGATTGTCGTCCTTACTTTCTACGTAAAGCGAAGAGTTTGTGAACATTGCAAAGGTAGGTTGATCATACATGGATTTTAAATTATGGATCATAAGTTATGCTTGTGATCCAACACTGATTACTCCCGCCAACATTTTACAAGATTGCCATACTTTATTTAAAACTATTACTTCTATATCTTGATACATATTTATTGTGTACATATTAAATAAAATATTTACCCGTGTTCCTGCACAACACAATAATGTGATGGAAAAACTGATATGACAGCTATCTATTTGACGGCTCTACGTTTAACAGGAACAAAGAATGGAGCCCATCATCCCAGACATGGCAAGTCAACTATGGATCAATCAAATGATTTGGTAAATATGCTTTAAATAAATCATACATGCCTTCCTTTACAGCCAGTGAACACAGCATCCAGCTGTGTCTCGTTCTTGTGCAGTCACGTCTGCCACTGCCAGAGATGATCCACTGCCATCCTAGCAAGTAGCCAAGGGAGATAGAGAGAGTTCTTGATTTTGTGAATTCTAATGATTTTTTTTCTTTCTTTTTACTCTATAATTTCTTGCTTTGGCAATTTTGTCTTTGTTACACTCATTCCAATATGGCAAAATTGGGGAGAGAGAGAGAGAGAGAGATTCCCGCCCTCTTTGTGATCACCTATACTATAGTATAGATATAGTGTCATTAACATATTCTTCTGTTTCTGTTAATAATAGCACGAGTGTAAAATTTCATGGTTCACTTCCAAATTACTACGTTGACCAGCAGTACCAAAGCTGTCGATAACATTTTATGATAACACTACTGACAGACAAAATAAGCAAACATGCAGCTTTCTATGAGATTGGCTTTACTGACATTTAAGGGTCTGTGTCCACATAGTGTTTGTTTTTTTTTTTAGCTCCAAACTTTTCAGACAGTTGCTGGTGTCACTTTCACTCTTTTTCAGGCAACCAGTTTTATATTAGATGGTGGATTGGTCACTAGGGCTGGCAACAAATATTCTAAATTTGAATAAAAATGACAAAACAAAGTAGATATTCGAATGTGGAGGGAAAAAAGCAGCACCACTGTCTGTGGTGTGACTCCTGTCTGCATGGCAGATTGGTGTCATTCTCAAATGAAATGTAGGTCAAGCTGAAACACGCAAATAAGTCGACAACAACTGTGTGGTAATGATGGCAGAAAGTTTGCAACCCAACTTGGCCACAGAGAGAGTGATTTGCATTCTAAGCAATTTAAAAAGCCCCATTTGGAAATAATTCAATAACACTAAATCATAACAAAAGCTCCAAAATAAATAAAGCAGCTAACGATTTAGCTTCTATGGTACATTTATTACAGTACAGAACCATTATCACTAATGAGGCAGAGGAATAGCTAAACATCAGCAACAGACAACAGAGTGACAGGGAGAGAAAGTCATAGCTAACTGCTAAACTGTTAAGCTAAGTACCGTAGCTAGCACAACTAAATAGCATGTAAACAACTGTGGGACTAGTGTTGTTAAAAGGAGAGAGCTATGAGTGCTTGAGCATATGGTTGCCACCTTCAGCTTGGAAAAATAAGGGACACCTTGGGAGCGGCCTCATGCCGTGGGGGACAGAAATTAGGCAGGGGGTTTAGGCCTAGCGGTCCTTCGCCATGATATTTTGAGTGTCAGACACTTCATTTCCTGCATTCTGGTGACATTTTATACACCAAGCACGTTTCATGCATTCATTTAAAAGTCCTCTGCTCCTCTTAACATGACTGTAAAGGAAATAAAGAGTCAGTAGAGTGAGAAACAGTTGCATCAATTATTCTCAGCTTCTTCAGGTCTTCTGCTGACATCCTCAGAGAACTGTTGATGTGTGTATCTGGAGAATGATAATGACTAATTCACTGACTGTACATAAGGGCTTTAAACACAGTACAAAACAGGTGAAAACATGTTGTATACATTAGAGTGGGGTGTGCATTAAAATACATGACGATCCTGTATTATATGGTACGGGTGGCAACACTACTTCAGCAGAACTAGTGTTTAAATATAAAGTGGGTAATTATCTGCTGTAAGGACGAATACAACTAAATGAACTAGGTTGAGCTACAGCAGCAAACATGGCAACTGGAAATGATGTACTGACCGTAGCATGTCAGAGCAAGTTGCATCCTTTGGTCAGTATAACCATAATTATGTCATGTAGCCTATTCAGTAAATCAGGTATTTGAATAGTTCAGACCTTTGTGTTGTTTTTCCAAAGAATAATCGAATCAAAATAATCGAGCACTACTGGTCAGCCTGTTAACCAAGAAAATGAAGGAGAGGCTCGTTCTGAATGGGTCTGCCCTAAAATGACTGATGGTAGACAAGTATGGGAGCAACACAAAGTTGTCATATTTAAAGGGACATTGTGTAGGAATTTCTCCCATCTAGCGGTGAAATTGGATTTTGCCATTCAAACGAATAGTGTTCTCTAGTGCCTCGCGTTTTCAAATGCGTATTGCAACTACGGTAGCCGTTATGTATCAAGAAGCCTACCTGTCGAGGAGAAAGCAGGCAACTTCAGCGTCCCTTTGAAAGTCTTTCTCCTTCATTAGCTCTTTCCACCTGGGAAAAGCTACCCTGATGTTTACACTAGTTTTTTGAATTCGCCGGTCACGTTGCCTTTTTAATTCCCTTTTTTCGCTTTTTTGGCGACAAGGATTCCTTCTCCTGTGGCTCGGCATAAGTATGATCCTCCATTATGAACTAAAGTGCAGTGCAGACTTTCAAATGTGCCAGGCAGTGACAAGCGCCTCTCACTGATCTCCTTCTCTGTTATAGCTGGTTTCAGTCACATGACACTGGCTCCGAACGAAAACGCGGTGTGGATTAGTGCGACAGGTAGGCTAGTGCTTTATGTCCCTCTCGGCGATTATAGTTTTTCAAAATGGCGGAACGACATGGAAGCCTCCATGGACTTGCCCGTCCAATGTATATACAGATAAGAAATTCTTCGCTTACGAGGATAAGTCAGATCATTGGCAGAGGTAATTTTACACCAATGAGGACACATTTATGAATGAAGACATTGATTTTAGCTAATAAAATACTTAAAACACTACACAATGTCCCTTAAAGTACTGCAAGTGACCTGCATATGTGAAGAACACAATGCAGCTGGATGCTGAATTTGTCATTAACACACAAATATAATTTTTTTCAGGATGATGAAGTGGCAGCGAACTATGCAGCACTGGACTTCTCTGCAAGGAAAATGAAAAGAGGAAAGAACAAGAGAGAGTCGCCACAAGAGTGTGTGTACTCTGTTGTTAGAGCAGATAACCATAACCAGTAGCATCCCCCTCTATAGGCCTATGAATTGCTCCCCAAGTCCCTTCAAAGGGCCTCAGCTTTGAGCGACAAGAAGCAGTTGTTCATATGTTCGGAAAAGTGGGTTGATTTTGTTGGACAGGTTTGTTTTTCAGTTGTTTTGCATGGCATAGATGTCAGTTTTGTTGTTTTGTTGACATCAAAAATTTAATTTGTGGGGGAAAAAACAGCATCTTCAATCACTGTGAATAAAATCTGTCTATTAAAGGGTAAATCCATTGAGAAGAATTTAGCTTTTAGACATGTTCACATGAAACTGACACAATATGCTAAAAGACAGTTACACACAGCAGGCCTGTTAAATCGACGTGAATTGTTTTCAACAACAACGAGAAGGAAAAAGGAATATTGTACTTCAGACATTTACTTACAATGGCCATACGTCATACCATGCAGTTTTGCGTCCCGGGTTCTAGCTAACAATAAGAATCTATTAGAATCGATACCCAAAGCGGCCAATATTGATAACCACAGTAAATGCTCACCACTGCCTTCATATTAAAAACCATTTATTGTGAAGCACACAGGATGTAATCAGCACACCACACCACAGCCGATGAACAGAGGTTAACTGATAGGGCAACAATGAGGCTCCTGTTGTGACAATGACGTTTAAGTGACAAAATGACTGCTGACATAGAGTGATATGATTGTTGTGGCCTTTCATTCTGACTACAGTAGTTTTCTTCCACTGAATTTTACTAATCATCACAGAAACTATAAATGTTCGGAATTTGTAAACAATGACACAAATGTTAGGTATCAGTGGAAACAATGAGACAAGTGAAATCAAAGTAAATAAAAGTACAAAGGTGAAATACTATACAATAAAGTAAGCATGAAAAAAAACGTGAAAATGACCGGAAAATGTAGACTATATAAGCCCAACTGAAATTCAATTGCAGTGCTATATAGCATACATAAATCACCTTTCCCGCTGTCTTTGAGAAAAAAATCAGAAAAGGCAGAACATTGTTAAGTATCCATTGATGGAGATCCTCCCATTGTAGCCCCTCTAACTGATATTTCCTTTCTTCATTTTTCTACTTCCTTTCTTTCTTTTAATAATAAAAAACTATTAACACGTTTACTTGATTTTTGACTACAAAAAGAGATTACTAAATGTGATTTCAGTTGGTCTTTTATAGCAAATTGAAATGTTGACATGAAATATTCAAAAAGAAAACTGCACACAAGCCTCGAGATGCTGTAAAGTTTTTTACAAAGTGTTTGGCAATAGATAATCAATATTTATTGTACATAAGCTGCAGCTACAGTTGCTTATACTGACACACCAGCCTGAAAATAATGTTTTCCTGTCTTGATGATACAAAAAGTTTATGTCACTCACATTCTTATTGTTAAACTGTAACTACGTACGTTTCCCCTCCGATGGAGAGTCATTAACTTTAAATGAGCATCATCAGAATGTGGACAACGTCAAATGAGGTTAAATATAAAATGACTAATGTTTATATATGTGTTAATGATCAGGCACACTGTTCACTTGGAAATATGGAATTATGGCCATATTCAACACAGTTGCACTAGTTGATTCTTCTGTTGTCTGAATTCTGATTATCATTCACTCAGGTATGAAAAATATAAAGCTTAAAGGTACGATCACAGGTGAAGTGGTCAGATCAAAAGCAGGACGGGTCAAATGATTTATAATAATCTAGTTCACACAAACAGTTTTAAGTGGAATTTACTGATTTGCTAATTCAACCCAAAAGCCTCAGTAGCCCTCAGCGTAGATCCTTTCTCTCTCTGCTGCTTCTCAGTCCCTCTTCCGCCACTGCCAGTTTTCATTACGGTAAAGACGACAGCAGAATATACCCGTGTGTCCTCATGCGTCTGAGAAAATACATGGAACATTTTTAAAGATGACTATCATGATGAATGCATTTAAAAAGAGGAGGACAGTTAATCTTACCCTTAAATGCTGATTTTGTTGTCCACCAGTGTTTAAAGTGCCTGTTAACCAATGAAAAATGGGATTCAGTGAATTTCACTAAATTAAAGAGGAATGGTTCTGTAGATTAAAATATACTCAGCACTATGTGAATTCAGTGACGTTAGCTATTCCCAAGAAGAACAAGGTATAAGTAACATTCCCTTACCATTGCAACAATCAAAAGCCTTTATTGAAAAAATGAGGAAAGCGCCAACAATCAGACTTATAGCCAAAACAGCACACAGCAGAAGCAAAATTGTATTGGCCCTCTGAGAATCCCACACGTTGACTGCTGAAAAAGATTGAAAAAGAACAAATAATTAAAATAAATTATTAGTAAAATCATCATAAACTTATTTAAGAACAATTATTCTTCGTAGTTTACCTTAATGGATTCTACCTGATTTCCAAATAATTTCCTCATTATGTAGAAAAATGATGCAGTTACCTTCAGGGTCGGGTTTTGACCTGTTTCTACAAAATATCTCCTCACATGTGGCCACAGCGCAGTAATAAGTCCCAGGATCAGAGGAGCTGACGTTCTTGAAGATACATTTCTTTGTTGAGAGTCCGTCAGGGTTGTTTTCATATTCTTCCGCACTGTTTTGTTGAGTATAATTCAAACTTGGATGAGATTCATTTGATCCAATTCTGAAACAGCACATACTGAGATCTCCTGGACATGTTTGATTCTCACAGTCAGAGAGGACTGAACACTGAAGAGTCGCAGAGTCTCTTGGACGGACTGGATCAGATGGAGGGACTGCAGTGATATCAGATTCTGGTCCTGGGAAATTGAAAACAAATCAAAAACAAAAAACAGATATGACTGACATACATTTTCAAATAAAGTTGTTTCTTAATGAATTAGGCAAGTAAGCTATAGAAATTAAGTTATAGAAACAATGGAAATCATAATGAATATTTAAAAATAATTTGTAATTACCTTCAACTCTCAGGTCCACAGTTTTTAAAACTATCCACTTTTGTTGTGTTTTAAAACAGACGTAAATTCCAGTATCACTTCGCTTTACGTTTTTAATCTGCAGAACAAATGTTCCAGCTTCTCCTGAGACTGTAATGCTAGGATCAGCACTCTCAGTTTTAAATGTTCTTCCTAAGACTTCGGGAAGGTTTCCAGAAACAAGTCTGATCCAAAAGGAGGTTGAAGAAGATTCGCGGGGACATGTTAGTTTCAGGTCATCTCCAACACCAACAATCTTTGTCTCAAAGAGCTGATAATCTGTGCATCCTGAAAAGCGATATCTTAAATTAACAACAGAGTAAGAATAATGTATGCCCTCTCGTAAGAGGATGAAAATACTGTAAATGTAAATCTGGACTAAATCTGACATTTCTACACATACTTACGCCCCACTCTGAGCATCAGCCCCAAATACAGTAGAATCAGCATTTTCTGGTTATTCCACTTGAGACTGCTGTTAAAGTGCATTTGAAAAAGATTCACTTTAATAATTATTTCAAGTGGGAGGGAACAATTACAGAGCAATCTGATTGGCCTCTTGTTATGTTGTTGTTTCGCTGTGCAACCACAGTGGAAATAATATCAACCATCTTTCCAACGTAAACACATGAAACAACAACAACAAGCCTTTCTTTCATTATTCATGGTGGGTGTTAATATCTCCCCTGCGATGAACATCAGCAGGAGAGTTTTGTATTTGTGTTTTTTGACTATAAGTCTATTTTCATTTAATTTCAATGTAAATTATTATTATTTACTAATCTGTATAAACATATATTTTACAATTGCTTTGGCAATGTAAATGTTTACTTCCCATGTCAGTACGACCTCTTTGAATTTAATTGAAATAATATTTCTCCTCCTGTGGCCCTGATTACACTTCTCATCTTGATGTGAACTAATCTCCAACACTAATTTTTACAACTATTTATTTATATTTCCGAAATATTTGGTCTTTCGGTTTTTCGGTGTATCTGAAAATGTTCTCGAAGCTGTTGAAGGCACACACAAATATGACCATTGATTCAGCTGGATAATACAAAATGTATTAGTTCTTCGAAACCTAGTTTTCAGAACTACTAGAATAGCAGGTGTCATGCTGTGTTGTTTCCACATATTTTACTAATGTAATCATTCCCTCTCCAGATTGGTCAGTATTACCTATACTAAAGACTTCATATTGGATTCTGCAAAGCTCAAATTACATCAATTGACAATTTCTTTTAATTACATTGCTGTATAATATCTGCACTGGGTAACACTGCTCAGGTATGGATTAAGGAATTATTGTGTGTGTTAAAGTTTTTATAAAGGCAAAAATGAATGTTTGGACTGTGATGGGATGCAAGCTACATTTATTTTCACCATGGTACATGAATGGCACACAACTTCCAGGGACTTGCACTAAACCTTAGTTCAGTCAGGACCACTTTTGTCAAAATAACTTATATCCCAAGCAGAATTTTACATTTGGTGGTATGGCTCTGTTCTGGGACCTCCTTGTCCTTCCGCGTGCCTACGTGGAAAACCTTTAGGCAGGGAGAGCACACCTCCCTGCCCTTCCATGTGCATACATGGAAAAGTTTAAGACAAGGAGAGCGGCAGCAGAGACCCCCCAGGGTACAGAACAGAGTAAGCATCAATGGCAATCAGAAAATGACATTGATTAATTAGAAACAACATAAAAAGGAGGAGCTGGGGTGGAGGTGGGTGCAAAAGGCTTGTAGAGGAGCAGCAGAGATAGGCAGGCAGGCTAAAGCAGCTTAAATAAGGCGCCATGTAGATGTTTGCCAATTGGATGCTTGAGGAAATCAGGTGAGCTGTCAGCTGACTGTGTATGGTATCCAATGGGAAGCTTAGAGGAATCAGCTGATGTATGTTTATGACTAGCTGTGATCGTATGATATAGCTGTAACTGAAAGCTAAGCCTGACTTCGTGCCCTGCCTGAACTAACGCTATGCTCAATATGTAAATGATCTGATGACCAGAATGGTCCAATATGAATATACATTGATCAGCCATAACAGTATGACCACCTAGGCACCATGGTGATGTCTTCTACAGCTCCGTAGCTAAAGCAGATTTGTCCCAATTATTAACCCTGAATTTATTTGTGGTCGATTGTGATGACTGATTAATTGTTTCAATGATCTGGCTCTAGACAATCAGATGGATTTCTTGCCTGTCTGAAATTCTGTCAGCTGGCATGCTGTTTTCACAGTTCCAAGGTCTGATTTCTAATATATGAAGGTTGTCAAAAGGTCCTTTATACACTCTGCTGAGCTTATTTTATATGTGCTGGAGTAGTCTTTTATATCTCTGGCCGTGCAGAAACAGGTTAAAACATGTAGTGTTAGAATTAACATGACATGGTTTGGAATAAAGCATTATTTATAACAACCATAAAATTCAGTAGTTGCATTATTTGTGGCCTTCCACATTTTACTGTCTGTGTACTGAGGTTATAAAAACAGTGGATAGTGCTACAAAGCATCTGCTCTCTTCACATCACTGCCATCTATTGGTGAAAACCAGATGACTCAACAAACAGCTATGTCAGTACCACTCAGATCAAAGGGATTTAAATTGATCTGAATCACTTCTATGAATGAAAGAACTAGCCAGAGACTGTCAGAATAGAAAGCCAGAGAAGTCATTTTAAATGACCCAGGAGTGGAGGATTTCAGATGCCCTAAATCATCGGTGAAAAACCCGCCCACACAGTCATCTGCAGTGCAACAGCAGGAAGAGGACCACAGGCAGAGTGGGGGAGGGCTGTTGCACCACCCTTAGCGTTAGACCTTCTGGTTGTGAGGCACCATATTAATCACTGAGAGAGAGAAATAAAAAAAAATAGGCTTTTTATATGAAGTAGCTAAAAAAAGTTGATGGACATTATGAAATGGGATATACATCACTTGTGTATTCTTGAGGTGGATAAAATAATAGGAAGACCTCACAATTGAAAAAACCCCAAACCCAGATCAAAAAAGGTATTTCCTTGACACTACACTACCTTGTGTCCATCTCTTTATGCATAATACTGTGCAGTCAAATATACAGTGTATGAACATGGGGAAAGAAACAACTGTAAAAATGATTAATATGTTGTCTTTATTTTGTTGTGAATGTGCGTTCACACACATTTACACTCACCACATACAAACAAATGATGTGTGGAAAGTTGAGCACGGTTGTGGCTGGGCTATAAAAAGGTTTGGCCACATTTCTTTCTTTCATTCTCATGATGTTAGACTTAAAAGTGGGTGAATGGGTGAGGGTTGGAGTTTTTATTGCACATTTCTAGTGTTTTTTTCTTTGGAGGTTGTTGTTAAGAGAAAGAGAAATGCTAAACATTCACAGAGCCAACCCATGTCTTACTGGATTTGCAGCATATTTAGTCATTTATGTATGCCACAAAAAAATATTTAAAATGTCTTTTAAGAACGACTCTCCTGATCACATGCAGTTCAGAGAACATATGAAGAGGTGACTGATCTTTGATAAATATGTTCTCAGAGGGACACGAAGTGGCTGCAGGGCAGATTAAAGCCGTATGAACACATTATCAGTGTGTGTGGTGACCTTGGTTGACTTAAACCTCACCTATTTTCTTTTCACATCATTTTTGCATTGTGATGCACAGTGCATGTAGCAAGCCAATACACTGCAATAAGTAATAAATAAAAATATCTGTTTTTGTGTTTAAGAGGTTTGTTTGTTTTTGCAAGTTGCAAAACATTTTGCATTTATAATCTCTCATTCCTTTTTAAGCTTTTTAAAACATTATACTCATTTTGAATGCAATTTGTTTCCTTTAATGTGGAACCAATGTCTATTGAGTAAGTGAATTGTATGCTGTCACACATCTGTTGTTTGATTCAATATTGTGTGTATCTCTCTTGAAACAGAGATCTTAATCTCAATGTTATCGGGCATACTGGTTAAACTAAAATGACCTTTCTGATGCCTCTTGTAGCTCTTCCCTCCATGTACCTCTAACCTCACTTCATATCCTGTTGAAGCCCATAGTCAGGTCTCTTCTGAGTAAACAGCCTCAGTGGTTGGTCAAAGGCAGAGAAATGACACCACAGCTTTTATCTGTTGCATGTGGCTTTGCTTGTTGTTTTCAGTGCACATTTCCTTTACAAGGTGTTGTGAGACTAGAAAGAAAAAGATTTTTATTTTTCCCCAGAAAATGTTTTCATATACAGTATGTTTCAAACATTCCTGATGTTTACTGTACTTACAAAGTAAAAAGCTCTCTGCTTTTATTTATACACTATATATCATATTTATAATATACTACAAATACTAGATATTTTAACCATACTAATAACTATTCATTCTTTAAACTCATATAACAAATATTTTAGAAAGCCATTAGCCCACTGGGATGGTCACAAACATGTGATTTTAAACCAGTATAAATCTGTCATGTCCATTGCTTTTACAAGTGGGAAACATGAAAATACCACAGTCTGAAGTCATTCAATAGCAGGCACACTGTGTTGTCTGCACCAGCAGACCATTAACAGATACATATTCAGACCAGCAAAGAGGAAATGTATCAATTCAATTTCAATTTTCAATTCAATTTTATTTGTATAGCGCCAATTCATAACAGAAGTTATCTCAGGACACTTTCCAAATGGAGCAGGTGTAGACCGAACTCCTTATAACATTATTTACAGAGACCCAACAGTACCACCATGAGCAAGCACTTGGCGACAGGGGCAAGGAAAAACTGCCTGTTAAAAGGCAGAAACCTAGGACAGATCCTTCGGCTCTAGGTGGGTGGTCGTCTGTCTCGACCAGTTGGGGTGAAAGAGAGAGAGACAGAGAGAAAGAGAGACAGAGAGAGACAGGTGCACAGCAACAACAGTAGCAACAACTACACTAATAGTAGTGACTGATGATGATGAACATGACAACAGCAACGCTGGCGGACAATGAGCAGTGACAACAGCAACATGAGTAACCGTATCTATAATATTACTTTATAATAATAATAACAATAATATCAGTGATATTGGCAATTGTAGTCAAGCAGGACCATGGCAGGAGGCACCACCAGGATCCATGAGAACCTGTGAGACGAGAAAGCACAAGAACTCCGGGGAAGAAGTGAAGTTAGTAACATGCATTAATGGGACATGAATGAGTGCAGAAAGAGAGAGAGAGAGGAAGAGAGGAGCTCAGTGCATCATGGGAAATCCCCCGATAGTCTAGGCCTATAGCAGCATAACTAAGGGACGGTTCAGGACTCACCTGATCCAGCCCTAACCATACGCTACTAAGGGAATTGCCAGAACCACTTTCTAATTTATATTCAAAGGCAAAGTTGCATGCTGATTCCTCATCCCTACTAGTAGAGAGTGAAAGCATCTTTGACAATCTTCAGAAAACAGAGCAAGAGGTTTGTACTGACAAATTGTAAGTCTTGTACTTCAATTTATATTTTATCAGTTTTATCGATCATTTACCAATATCTGTATTTTTTTAAATATTTACATTAATAGCTTTATTTTGTTGAAATAGCATTACATTTTT